GTGGAGCTGGGAGATGGGGCAAAGAGCGTGGGGGACACGTGGCTTTGGGGCCCTGGGGATGTTAAATTGCGTTTAAGTAAACGGGTAACGGTTGGATATTTCTAGCAGCGGTTAAATGTTGGGGGGGGGCTAGTTCCCCCCGCGCACCGGGCGCCTGCGTGTAACCCTGCAGGTTACCTGGTGGGCCCAGGCTCTGTGCTTAGCCGTGTGCGCAGTTACGCTTTCACATCCCCTGTGGATGTAGACGATTAGCAGGTTACCTGGTAACCCTTACCAGCCTGCTTGCCAGTTAATCTGAGAGCCTGCAGGAACAGGCCACCCCACTCTTACCCCACCCCCTCCCCCAGCCTGTGGTGGGCCTGACTGGCAGGACCCCAGCCACAGCGAGCCTGGCGGAAGCAGCTCCCTGCAGCAGAGCAGGATGCTAACACTGGTTACATGTTGACACATGGGGGAGGGAGGTGGCTCTGTGAGAGCCAGCTCCCTGCATCTACCAAGTCTCCTCCCCTCCCTCTGATACTAGGGATGTTAAGAAGCATGTAATTTGTTAAGCATGTAGTCAACAAAAATTTGCTGACTACAAATTAATCAGTAAGGGTTAGCATTGCAAGCACTCAGTCCCAGCTCATGCCAGGTCACAGGGGCTGCTCCTCCACTGCATTAAAACTATTTTAGGAGCTGGGCAGAGAGGTACCCACTGTTTGTTGCTCTTGGGACCCATTGCGACCTAGGACTGAGCTGAGGGCTCCTAAAACGGGCAGAGAGGTACCCACTGTTGTTTGTTGCTCTTGGGACCCATTGCAACCTAGGACTGAGCTGAGGGCTCCTAAAATACTTTGAATGCAGTGCTGCAGCAGGTAGCTCCTGGGACACAGTCTGGATTGAGCCAGGTATGGGGAGATGCATGTAGTTGATAGCATTAACCAATAAACTTTTGCTTATCATTTAACTACACTATTACATCCCTATCTGATAGAGGCAGCAGTGGGGGATGCATGTAACTGCTTAACCCTGTACGCTATCCCGTCCCTAATACTAACATATACTATGTTGACATACTTTACGCATGCATAGATTTAACATACAAGAACTTGTGACTTGTCATTCGTGGTAGATCTTGTTGATTTGAAATGGTAAAATAGTGGCAGTTTCACTAAGGTGTATTTTTAGTTGTGATCTATGTTTTCTTGTCATCATAAAATATAACATATTTTACAGATTGAAAGTTTAGACAAGAGTCTAGATGATTTGCTGACCAGGGTTGATGAATTTGTGGGGATGTTAGACATGGTACGTATTGATCTCTCTAACTTTTGTATGGGTACTGCCTATTTTGGGGGAAGGAGGGAGAAGAGAGTTAGTACTCAAAAAATTGGGTGGATGATTTTTTTTCCTTCAGGGAAATAACCAGAATATGACTAGTGTAAAGGTCTAGGTGTGCAAACAGTTACCGTAGAATTATCCAGTTTGCATGCAGTGATGAGACGTGTGCATAAATACAGGTGTGTAACTGCTCATGTATATTTGAGCATGTAGTTCAAGTCTCCTTTATGAAAATAGTAGCCAGTACAGTGACAGCAATTCAGAGACATATTTGTTGGTCATATTTGGCCCATAATTTTAATAAAAATATTTTTTCCCATCTTAAAACTAATACAAGTTAGACCTCCCTGGTCTGACACTTTGGGGACATGAGTGGTCCCGAACCAGGGAATTTGCCAGACCAGGGAAGGTCAAGGATCCTGCCCCCAGCCACTGGGAGCTGTACTCCTGGCTGCAGGGCCATCCTGCTGCAGCCTGCTCAGCTGGGGCTACACTCTTGACCCTGGCCAGCCGGGCTCTCTGATCCAGCAATATCCATGGTCCTACCAGACTACAGAAGTTGCTGGACTAGAGTGTCCCAGATTTTAGAAGTTAAACCTGTAGAAGTATTTCTTTTAAGTTTAGTATATGGACCTTAATAAAAACCTATCTGTGCCATGCAGTGTTTGCAACCTAAATGTTACAGTATTAGGCTAGTACATGAGAACCAAAACATGAATTTCAGTGCTATTTGACCATTGGCAAAAGTGAGTTTTAAAAGCTTGGTTTAATTGAGAGAGAAGCAAATAGGAAATAGCATAAATAAAATACTGAAAAGTACATTCAATTTTATTAATTCTTCCTCTGTTCTAATAAGGTAAGTTTGCCTTGAAAAATGTGAATGAAAATTAACGTGCTGAGGCACAAAAAAGTTAGTAATTCACCTTTAATATAAGGAAAGTATTTTATATGCCTGCCCAGGAAAGAAAAATATTTTGAGGCAAGTGGAATTTTGACAGGCTAATGATCTAAGATTTGTTTTGGTAATAAATAAAAGGAAAGCTAGTTTATCACTTATTAACCTGATGTGCTTTTAATGATCAGTACTACATTGTTTTGTATTCCTGTTTGACTTCAGTCACTCTTGTTCAATGAGCATAATAAATTATTTAAGAACATAAGGGAGCTGCCCTGTGGGGTCTGACCATTGTCCACTTTGCCCAGTATCCTGTCACTAATAGTGTCCAATCCCAGAACTTTAGGGGGAGAGTACAGAACAGGACAGTTATGGAGCAATTTCTTCCTCTCCTCATAGTTTCTGGCAGTCAGAAATTGAGTGGCACCCTAACCATCTTCACTAATAGCCATTATTGAATTTTTAGGGGTCTCTAACAGATGCAGAATTCAGACCATAAGATTGCATTGCATGTTTACAATACTGAAACAGACTCTCGTAGTTTTTTTGCAACTTGATTGTATGTATTTCAGATTTTTCATGATATTATTTTACTATGTTTAACAATAAAAAGATCACAGAATTGCTAACTGGATATTATCCGGTATCCCTATATAAATAATGAGGATTAGTGATCATGTATAACAAAAACATTTAAGACCTTGTTTTTCAAATTCTGGGACATGCCACTCATCCTTTACCTGCTCCCCTCCGTCCCACATTAGCAGGGGGCACAAGGCCCTGACTGGTTTAGAACTTTTTTTCTTGTTTAAGTTAGCCCATGTATGCTATTATGATTCTTCGGGTACCCAATTCCACCGTGTGTGTTCTGGGGTAATGTGGGTATGAGGATGCTGATCCCAGAGTCTTCTAGTACCCCCGTTACTATTACTCAGCACACCCAGCACTGTGCCACCATCCTGCTGCCAGCCGATTCCCACAGAAACTGCCCAGCCTTGTAAGGAAGTGGGTCTGGCCCACGAAAGCTCATCATCTAATAAACCATCTTGTTAGTCTTTAAAGTGCTACATAGTCCTGTATTTTGTTTCCGCTACACCAGACTAACACGGCTACATTTCTATCACTGAGCATGTGGAGACACATGTTCGTGCAGCATCCTCTCTTAGCATGTGGACACACATGTTCGTGCAGCATCCTCTCTTACAAGTTGTCACTCCAGGCATCTGGAATTCACACACACAGTATGTGACACACAATCTCAGCCACGCTGAACAACATGCCGTCCAGAGTCTCAAAAACAACCTGGACATTATAATCAAACCAGCTGACAAAGGTGGTGCTGTGGTCATTATGAATAAGGCCAACTATAACCAAGAGGCAACCAGACAACTCCAACACCACATTTTACGAACCTCTCTCCTCTGATCCTACCTCAGAATACCAAAAGAAATTAGTCTGTCTCCTTAAAAGCCTCCCTACAGCTACTCGGGAACAAATCCACACAGAAACACCTTCTGACCCCCGACCAGGATTTTTCTATCTGCTTCCCAAGATCCATAAACCTGCACACCCAGGACGCCCCATCATCTCTGGTACTGGCACACTCACTACTGGTCTATCCAGCTATGTAGACTCTCTCCTCAAACCCTACGCAACCAACACCCCCAGCTATCTCCGAGACACTACTGACTTCCCAAGCAAACTACAAAACATCGATAACCTCCCCAATAACACCATCCTTGCCACCATGGATGTAGAAGCACAAACCTGTTCTTAAATATCTCCAGAGAGGGAGATTCCACCACCTCCCTTGGCAATTTATTCCAATATTTAACCTGGTAGCAGACCTATGTAACTTTGTTCTCACCCACAATTATTTCCGGTTTGAGAACAACTTATACCTCCAGATCAGCGGCACAGCCATGGGTACACGCATGGCCCCACAGTATGCTAACATCTTTATGGCTGACCTAGAACAACGTTTCCTCAACTCCCGTCCCCTTTTACCCGTTCTCTACTTACGCTACATCGATGACATCTTTATGATCTGGACGCATGGCCAAGAAACACTGGAGACATTCCACGGAGATTTCAACAACCTACACCCCACCATTAACCTCAGCCTGGACCATTCCACACGAGAGATCCATTTCCTGGACACCACAGTACAAATCAACAATGGAAAATTAGACACCACCCTCTACAGAAAACCCACTGACCCATCCAGTTCCCTCCATGCTTCCAGCCCCCATCCAGCACACACCATACGATCCATCATCTATAGCCAAGCCCTTCGATACAACCGCATCTGCTCTAATCCCACTGACAGAGACCAGAAACTTCAGGATCTCTACCAAGCATTTATAAATCTCAACTACCCACCCAGAGAAATA